TGAAAAGCCTCAGTTCGGTAGAGTAGCGCGATCATTAACGTACTCTAAGCAGATAAACCTGTATATTCGATTACCATTACCCAAAAATTAATAATTAGTTTTTCATCAATAATAAGTCTGCGTCTTAGGCAAAAAGAAGATTTACTTCAAAGACGTTGTTTTAAGCCGAAGTTTCGATTTTTACGATTAGTGTGACTCGCCATTACAGATTCACCTTCGTTTCCACGTCCTTTCTAGTCGAGGCGCTGGATTCGATTTCGGCCATCACCGACGTTTCGTTGAAACCTTGTTCCAAGTTGACTACCTCCTCGTTCAGCTGGTCGATAACCTTCTGGAGCTCTTTGATCCTGAATTTTTTATTAAACATATCCAGAAAAAAAATGTATGCACCTTGGAGCTGAGCTGTCGATGTCCCTTAGTTGGTGCTGCATCGTTTTGAACTCTACTTCAAACTTTCGTCGTCTTTCGTCGCTGATGCGTGCCGTCTGCTCAGCGGCGGCTTTTTTATCTGTCGCTTCTGACACCTGCTTGTCCAAATCCCCTAGTTTACGGTCGAAATCCGTCTGAAAGCAAGTAGGATTAAAATAAAATTTTTAATAAAATATAGAGGTAAATTCGGCGTGCTCAGATGCTCGCCACCTGGGATTGATTGCTGATATGGGAGTGGAGTGACATTCAGATATGGAGGTTATATGTGACAAATAAACAATTACGGACAGGCAACGATGAGACCACCAACGAGGGTATGGCCAGGTTAGAGTTCGACACGTTCAATCCGAAGAGAACAATCAGCGCTCAACGACAATCTCAGTCGAAAAGAAAGCGACTTACCCCTCTGAAGAAAAGACCGAAAATGTAAAATGTTACCGCTGTCCTGTATTTTAACGTCGGTTCGTCAAAGGCTAGAAAAGACAAGTTCGATTAAAAAAAAACCGGACAGAATTTGGGGTACCGTCAGTATGAATTTTCCAATGCCACCACCAGCCCTGCCAGCGGGTAGAAAAATTTTAGGCGTTATGACAACAAAAAATGGGCATCACTAGCGTGCGTTTCTATCGAGCAATTTCGCGGAAGTTGTTCGGTGTTAAACTCACGAAAAGCTACTAAGAAATCCAGGAGAAAGGCCACCGTCTGGCAAATGGACCGGAATTTCCATCGTTGTTTGCACCTACAACGGTAGAACAATGACGAGGGAAGAAACGCTAAACCAACTAGTTGACCAAAAGTAAGTGATTGCTTGCGATATGCTCACCTCTGTGAGACACGCCATCAAAAACAGAAGAATGGCATCTAGGATGACAGCAATCTGATTTGGCTAGAAAGCGGAAGGGACGCGAAGAACATTGGAGGAATCGTACAAGATACCATCACAGTGGAAGGGATAAAAAAACAATCATGTTCGTCAAGGGTAGTGTGAAGAAAGATCTGAATAACTATCGCCCAATTTGTCCGCTCTTACAAGTCTATAAGCTGTTCATACCGACAGGC